GGTTTTCTGCGCTGCACAGCTAACGTTAATCGACCATCAATAGTCAAACAGCGCTGGTTGGTTGGAGCTGTATTGATTATACATACATAAACTAACATTACATGGTCACACAGGTACTCACACTCGATACAACAGGAAAGTCTGAAATCATAGCCATAGCTAACCTGGATAGCAAGAAGCGTTACAAGCTCAGTGAAGCCAACATTGAGCGAAACACCCATTTAAATGTTGTGTACTTCTGTGTCGTCCTGCTTGACATTGGCAAACACCCTTGGAAACAGTATTGATATATTTTCTGGATCCAAATGGACTCGCCCTTTTATTCGGCTTCACAATGATCAGCAAAGCATCTCGTACAACAACAAAACTTTATTTTAGAAAATAATGTGCGTCATTCGTTATTCACCACAGAAGAAAACGACAAATAGTGCAAAGCATCCCTTAAAAGTATAAATATTATCAAAAAGTGTGCTGGATACTTAATTAAAACCTTGCCGAATCGAATAATTGATCCTTCACACTCAAACCAAGTTAAATATGTTACTTTACCGGGAATATTTACACGCCGATACGCGATTAAGCATTTAATTCCCACACTTTTCAACGCGGTTCAGCGCAACGTCCTCACCATTCAGGGCGAATCTTGGCTAGCAAACAAAACAACGTCCAACAATAATGGACACGTTCGGGGGATGCTCACCTGCAGCTCGGCCCGCTCCACCTCCCACTGCGCCCGCTCCACCTCGAAGCGGGCCCACTCATGCTGGAGAAAGTGTAAAATCCCTGGGATGTTGTAGTGAGCTCTGGCCGCCTCTCCGCCGCCGAGGTCTCCGGTCTGCGGAGCTTTAATATTCCCACCGCCGGGCAGACCCGAGCTGTTGTTGTTGTTGAAGAAGACACCGGGGCCCGCCTGTTCGTCCATGGCCGGACCGGGGGGCGATGGTGCTTCTGGTTCGGTCCGGTACCGCCTACCGCTTCAGCAGAATATCCTCAGGAGGGAGATCCAGTCCATCAACCGTCCGCTCTGCTGGCCAGCTCTGCTCCTGTCTGAACCAGCTGTCAAACGGCCAGACAGCCGTCCAGCTTCCGGGATGAATACCAACACAGGACTTCCGGTGTGGAATTTCAAAATACAACCAACGTGAATGAAGTACTGCAAGTATAACTGTACATAATAATAATAACATTATTTATTATTATTATTATTATTAATAATAATAATTAATTCGAATTATAATAATAACAAATAATAACAGGTGTTTAATATAATATTTATATAGCAATATGAAGATAAAAATGATTAGATAATAATGATAATAACAATAAATATTAGTATAATAAATGTATAATACAAATAATAAATAAACAAACAACAATAATAATACTAAATATAATAAAAAGGGTTAGGGGTAGGGTTAGCGTTAGAAACTGATAAAATAATTATATAATACATATACTTAATAATAATAAAAAACAAAATATAATTATTATTATTAGTAGTAGTAGTAGTAGTAGCCTGGATGACCTGTAATTTTCTAATGTTAAACTCAGATAAAACTGAAGTTGTTCTGGGGCCTAAGCACCTCCGTGATGCACTATCTAAAGATATAGTTTCCCTTGATGGCATCGCCTGGCCTCCAGCACCACTGTGAGGAATCTTGGAGTTATCTTTGATCAGTACATGTCGTTTAAGTCTCACATTAAGCAAATTTCAAGGACCGCCTTTTTTCACCTACGTAATATTGCGAAAATCAGGAACATCCTGTCTAAAATGATGCAGAAAAACTAGTCCATGCATTTGTTACTTCTAGGCTGGATTACTGCAATTCCTTATTATCAGGCTGCTCGAAAAAGTCCATTAAGACTCTTCAGCTGATCCAGAATGCTGCAGCACGTGTTCTGACAGGAACCAGGAAAATAGGTCATATTTCTCCCATCTTAGCTTCTCTGCATTGGCTTCCAGTAAAATCCAGAATAGAATTTAAAATCATTCTTCTTACCTACAAAGCTCTTAATGGTCAGGCACATCTTATCTTAAAGAGCTCATAGTACCTTACTACCCCACCAGAGCACTGCGCTCCCAGAATGCAGGGTTACTTGTGGTTCCTAGAGTCTCCAAAAGTACGTCTTTTAACGTGTGGCAGCGTCCAAGACAAATGTCCCATGGGACAATACAGTAATCTTGAATCTTGAGTGAAGAACAGTTAAACTCAGCTAACAAGTTGAGGCTGCTGAAGACAGTTTACATCATGGCAAGACTGAGCACAGCAACAAGACACTAGGTAGTTTCCAGTCCCAGGCGGACCTTTCAAGGGGTTTCCAGATGTGCTGTCCAGGCTCTTCTGAAGAAGAAACAGGCAGAGTTGAGGACGGTAGATGCAGTGTTCGGCCAAAGAAACTTCCTGCAGCAGATGAAAGACACATCATGCTAACTTCCCTTCACGGTCAAGGTACAAGGTTGTTTATTAGTCATTATACAGCACAAGGCTGCTTAACGAAATGAAATTTGTAGTTCCTTCATGCAACACACACAACATACAATCAAGTGTAGGCCTATATTAAAATATGGTAACATAACATAAAACAAAACAATACAGTTATTTATATGCATACACACACACACACCGAACATTTCACATTTTTTGAATTTGCGTGGGGTGAATGTAAACAGCAGCAACCAGATGATAATATAAAAGTTTCATCCTTAAAAACAGTCTGACATTTGGGAAACAGAGTCCATCTTGACTGCATTTTAGCACCAAGCATCATCGAGTCCACCTCTTCTCCTCTGGCCGAGTCTTGCGCTGACAGCTCGGAACATGGACCACCTGCCGAGTGCTTGATCCGGGATGTAGATAGTTCAGGTCTCTAAATTCCGTGGTCGATATGAGTGCCATTTTCTCCAGACCGACTCCTCAGGAGCAGAATCAAGTCCAAGCTGGGCCAGCATGGCTCCTCTCCTCTTTCCTATCCTCTGAGAGATCACCGCACCCGGCGCCTGGTCCGGTTGTTTGGGCCGGGTGGATCCTGGTCTGCTGCTCTTTAATCCAAAAACCCCCTCTTCATCTTCATACTGTACTTATGTCAGAGGTAACGCATGTTTCAGCAAGAAAGCCGGAAAAAAACAGATAAAAAACAAAAGTGTAGTGAAGTTTGAAGGAGCTACCGGCTGCTGCTTCTACAAGCGCTGCCGGTTGCCATAGTAATCAGAAGGTATCCAGCTGTGTCATCAGCTCAAAGCTACAGAAAACAGTGGGATCCTGGTAAACCATTTACTGTCCAGAGAAGTCTGGTCAGAAACAAGGCCAAGAGGCTAAACTATGCAGAGTAACACGGGACCTGGGGAGCAGAAAAATGGCAGCAGGTGATCTGACTGATTGATTCCTTCTGCAGCAGGACAACGAACCCAAACATACAGCGAAAGTCATATCTTCAACTTAAAGAAGAACGAGAGGTGCTGATCTCAACATCATGGAGTCTGTCTGGGATCACAGGAAGAGAGAGAAGAAACTGAGGCGGCCTGAATCCACCTGCCCGCAGAGCTCCTTCAGAAACTATGTGCAAATGAACCCAGAAGAACTGAGGCAGAGGGTGGTCACACCAGATATCTCTTCTGTTCACTCACTTTGTATTTTGCTAATTGATAAATATATTTTATTAACCGGTCTGTCTCTGATGCGGCAGGTCCTTTTGTTAGTCCTGGCTGTGTTTGTGTTTCTGCAGTACTCAGGTTTCTCTTGATCTCAACGAGATGACCTGATTAAATAAAGGTGATGTAAACTCTGTGAATCAATATGGCCCCATTCAGTTACATCCACTTATTTCTTCTTTTTAACTCAAAGAGCTCTGACATGTTTAGGTTTTTGAACTTTTGAAAGTTGAACTTGCATTGATTCATTGTGTGAAACTTTTGTTAGATATGTGTGCGTTGATTGAACTTGGGTTTGTAAGTTATCAGTTGAAAGGAAAAAGGCGGGTGTGCTGGGACGGGAGCAAGAGAGAAACAATCGAGTTGGAGAGAAACTTTCTTCTTTAAACCATGGCAAAGTTGAAGCATGGACATACTCAACTTATTATGAAAGGACTAGTGCCCGCAGTGGAGGGAGAACCCGACAACAGACTTATGTTGATTTAAACTAATTTGGAATTTAAATCCTCTTAACTTGAAGTGGAAAGTAGAATAAATGTTGAGTTGTTTTAATTGAAACTGTGATTTAGAATAATGCAGAAATGTACTGAAATAATACTAAGGGAAGTTTTTCTTGCATTGATAAAGTAAAATAATTATTTGTATTAAGGCAAGTTTATTTGTACAGCACATTTCAGCAACAGGGCGATTCAAAGTGCTTTAAATAAAACATAAATGCAACACAAGGAAATATGATAAAAGAGACATTATACAATTTTTAAAATGAGTCAAATAGAAATGTATTAGTTTATTTACCTGATAAACCTATTTTTCCACTCTTAATTAATAGGTTGCAAATAATCAGCTTTTCCATTGTATGGCTTTTTTTGATTTCCCATCTCTCACACCAGTCAAACCTTATTCACGATCCTCACCGTGAACCCAGATTGTTTTAACTCAAAGTATGAAGTTGAAACAAGCTCTAAAAAGTTCCCTCAACTAAAAAAAACAACATTAAGACAACTAGATGCTGTAGTTATAGCAACTTTATGACCTTTATGAGTTGAAACAAAGGCAATCTTCAAGGTGAGTTAACTTGAAGTTAACCTTAAATGCCTTGCAGAGTATAAATGAGAGAGGATCTGTTAGAGGAATGGTGTTCATCCCTCCAATAGAGTTCCACAGACTTGTTCTGCAGGCTGGTGGTGGTCTGGCTTCATGCTACTTTTCTCTCTCTCTCTCTCTCTCTCTCTCTCTCTGTGCAGTCAGCAGGGGCCCCTCGCTGCGGCTCTAACTTGATTAAACCCGCAGATGATTCCCGCCGTGGCTGCAGGCCATGTGCTAATCAGCTGATGCGCCACAGCCGCCTCTCCCCTCTATTTAACTCCTGCCCAGTTTAACCCCGCACCGTCCGAGCAGCTCTGCCTCCCTCACCATCACACTTCCCCACTCAGTCGCAGCATGCCTCCGTTTGACAGGAGCCAGCGGCAGAACCAGCCCTTCAAACTGAGGAAGAGCTTCGGTAAATAGCTGAACCACCTGAGAGGCCTGCGGGAGGACAGGTTGGTGTAGACACTTCAACATGTCTGACGGACTGTTTTCTTTTCTCTGTGCAGCTACGAGGAAACAAGAAGTGGCGGGGATCAGGTCCAAGTTCCCCAACAAAATCCCGGTATGTGGGCGGCAGAAGGGACTGCTCCTTTTTCTGAAAGGTCTCTGTCCTCACCTGTCCCTGTTCTCGCAGGTCATCATTGAGCGGTACGGGAGGGAGAAGTATCTGCCTCCGCTGGATAAAACAAAGTTCCTGGTGCCGCACGAACTCACCATGACCCAGTTCGTCACCATCATCAGGTAAAGTGTTTCACGCTGGAATCATTTGGGACGTGACTGAAAACAAGGTCTGGAACAAAGGGCGGCAGGCAGCTCGGGATCGATCATGTTCTCAGTTAATGTGGCCATCTTTCATCTCTTAAATGTCAAACTGTTAGTTTCCTAAAGCTGCGGGGTTTTTCCAGTTAAAAATGAGTTCAAACAACAAATCTTCAACTTTATAAGTTGGAACTGTGAAAAGTTAAAGTCATTACCAATGAATCTATTCATCAAAGGTTTATTTTTATGCCCATCACAAATCGATACTCTTTCAGCTCCAGATCAATATATTCTCTCACTGGCTGCTGTTGTCTTGCAAAATGTCTTTTCTAACTCTAAAGCAAGAGTGAAAATCTCAAATGTAGTTTTTGGTACTGTTTAATATGGATGTTAGTGAACAGACCAATGTCTGTTTGGGCAGTGAGTTAACTGGTGGAGGCGCTGGTTTAATTTCCAACTAAATGTTAACATGATCACCCAGTCATTAAATTAAAGCTGTATATTTTGAGTCTTCAGTTTCCACCTAAATGTCAGTGATGCCTCCTGTTAGTCATGATTACGCAGCAGAAACAGTGTTCCTGTTTCAGTTCCTGAACTTTGAGTCCTAGAATCTTTAGACAACTCAAAGAGCCATCGAGTCCAGATTTCTCAACCTTTTTTTTTTTTTTTTTTTTTTTTTTGTTCAATAAATCAACATGTTAAATATAATCTACTCTGCTTTGTGTAAATTATCAGACTTCCCTCCCTTATCACCTGATGGGTTGCAGAACAGCTGATGACCTCAGTTTCTGGTTATCTAGTCCGGTCATGTTGTCCTCTCTGCTGCTGATGCAGAAACCTTTTTAATTACCGTCAACACACTTAAACTGCTTCCAGCTTTTTAATGGACTTCGGTATTTTAGTTGTTAAATGAACTCCGTAGGGACAGGCCTCGAATTAATGTCAGAATCGGAAATGCTCTATTGATCCTGGAGGCGAAATTGTTACAGTTGCTAATCAAGGCCATTAAAGAGAAATGATACTAAAGATGCCAAGTAGAAAATATAAAAGTGAGTTATCTCTGCTGTCTGATGCAGACAGTCTTGTTTCCTATGTAAAGGTTGAGAGACTCCTGTCTTTGGAGGTAAATGGGAGTCTGTGGCAAAATCTTTTTAAAGTAAAAATCCAGAAGCGACGTCCATGTTGCTATTATCTACAGAACATGGCGGCTTTATGGGAACTGCTGATTAAGTCGTTCTATAAAACTTATCAGGAGCCACAGGGGCTCTGTATATTTTAATTACTCTAAATGTGGCATTGAGGCAGAAATCTGCAAAAAAATATCTGAAACCAAAACTAGGATGGTCGTGGGTCTGTCTCTGTGAAAGCTCAGCATCTTCCTAATGAAGACCCCTCAGCAGTGTGAGAGACTGAGGAGGGGATCTAGTTCTTTAAAGACAAACCGAATCAAGAGGATGTCTGACGTGAAACGCAGGCTGCTGAAACATTTGCTCAACTTGAAGTCGGGGACAGAACTGCATCTTGTTTCCCATCACCTGCCCTCAGCTTCAGAAACTGACTCATGTGCAGCCGGTGAGGACAGGAGGAAGGACTCCTCTCAGGCTTCATCGTATGAATGTGAAAATGATCAGGATGGGTGACTCCTGATGTTCAGAATATAGAAATAATCACACTCAGCCGGAGTCTTGCTGCTCTTAGTTTGACTCTTTTCACTTTTTGTTGCTTCTCTCCTGATTTCTGGGAACTTCCAGATTTTTCTCGGTCATGATTACGCAGCAGAAAGTTAATAGTCGGCTGGCTGCGATGGAATCTGTTACTGCTCGAGGTTCAGCAACAGCCTCCGTGATGTCACGAGTCTGTAGCTACGAACAGATGTGAGTAATGAGGCATGACTGTCCAATTCAGTAGTACATGCTAATAGTCTTGTATGTACTATAGTCATTTTATACGCTCTTTTTCCATACTTGGTACTTCAGTTGACTGTTTTCACATTCACCTGCTGAAGGCGTTTCTCTGAGTTCGCCGTCTTTAAATCTCACGAACACCTGGACGTACCTGCAGGATTAATGCCATAACTAGTTTAAGCCAGTCAGGGTCCAGTAAGATACTTACCCAGGGGAGGTGGAGACTTGAAGCACTCCAGGTCACAATGAGCTGCTTGGTGACGGAGGATATTTATTTTAGTAGTTTTGAATTGTTTAAATTTTATAGCTTTTCCACTGAGGGAGTGATTTATTTTTTCTTTACGAAGGCATTTGAATTTTGTGTGGAGACAATGATCAAAAACAAACGGTATTCTAAGCGGTGACTACTTGACGTGACAGAATGCTCTCAATTAAGATTAACTTGGCTCAACTCATTTCTTAATTGATCTGATCAACCCTGTTTTCCTGGAGGCGTTTTCTGCCCATCCACATTTTGTTTACAAACCTCTTGTTTGTGGGACAGTGTCCATCGTGAGCACACTAAAGACAAACTGCAGTTTTACTCTGAATACTAACATTTCTATGTAGGTTGTGAACCTTAAAATGCTTAGAATTCAATGGACTCTGGACCCAGCAGCAGCGTGGTTAAATGGCAGACAACGGCGTCTCCACAGCAGTGCTGATGGCGCGAACAGGCGGCGTGCAGGATGCCTCATTAATGCCTTTGTCTCCTGTCTCAGGAACAGGATGGCTCTGCTGCCCACTCAGGCTTTCTACCTGCTCATCAACAACAGCGGGCTGCCCAGCATGTCTCTCACCATGGCTCAGGTCTACAAAGACCACCAGGACGAGGACGGCTTCCTCTATATGACCTACGCCTCACAAGAGACCTTCGGGGACAAACCGCTTCCTGCTTCAGATTTTATTCAGCGTTAACGGCCCCTGGCCTCCATCTGCTGTAAATATAAAATATTTTATATATATATTTGTTCATGTTGACTATGGATTTTAATAAAAGAATGTGGATCCAATAAATCTTGAGTCAAGCTGAGGTGTGTGGTTTAGGAGGATCATGTGCAGGACTCTTTACAACAAATGGCCTTAACTAGTTTCAAACCTGGGCCCTATGTTCACACACTGCTGCAGAAATCACTAGTTACAAAATGTGACGGCTTCAGCTGGTGACCCACCTCGCCCCCCCCCCCCCTCCCCCCCACTTTTTTTTTTAACAGGAAACTAAAGTCTCTCTCAAATCTCATGAGAGGCAAGTTCTTGCATGAAGAAGACTGTGGACATTAGGAACTTTTACTACATACCCAACAGACTCTCCTCCCTCCACCAGCGCCTTCCTGTAACAAGTTGCCTCCAGGTTAAAATACAGAACTGATCCTTTTGTTAGACTGCTTTGTGGGGGTTTATGCTGCATTCATGTCATGTTGCAGTACCGTAAATACCAGCCTTAATCAACTTGGCTACAGGTTTTTCTGAAACTCGGATAACAAACTCTGCAATAAAAAGGCAAACCATGACCACCGCACACATCAGCCTAAATATAACCGATACACTGCTGAATGACGGCACTTTCATACAAGTGTCTCGAGTTGTCCACTGACTCGAGCGGGTCCTAAACACGAGACCCTTTCCCACCTCACCATCCCTCCAATTAGAAACCTGCCAGGTGTGGAAGAACATCTCAGGCCGTGTCCACGTGAACATTTTCAAAACCGTGACTCTTTGCGTGCACATCAGGTCTGAAACAAACCTTTTTGAAAACTCCTGCCAGGCTGAAGATTAAGACATACCAGTTGCAGTGTCGTTGTGTAGACAGGGCTGTCCCCGAGTATTTACATAATGAATTGTATATGGTGTGTGACGTTTGCAAGCGGGGGGACACAGGGAAACTCAGCTTTAATCTTGACAAGCTGAAGAACTGGCATCTCTATTCATTAGTCACTGTAAGTTAGACTATACCAGGGTGACCAGACGTCCCGGAAAATTCGGGACAGTCCCGAATTACGAGCAGTTGTCCCGACTCCAGTCCGGTTTGTCCCGAAAATTTGACTTACCATGGTTTTTGATTACAGCCTAATGAATCATTAAATACTGATCGTTGTGTAGTTCTCTTGCTCCAGCAGGGGTTGCAGGTTATCTTTACTGTGTCTACGGCTTTGTTATAGCCACAAAGTAACACTCGTGCTCTGTTCCCCTTTTTGTTGTCTTGTGGAAGTCGCAGGACAGGGAAAGTGTAGCTTCAGGCAGCCACAGTGGAGAGAAATTCAATTCAACATCCAACATGCGTGTTGTGCAGACAGATGTGACCGTGCACTGATGAAATTAATAAAATAAAAATCATGATTTACCCACTGTAATATATCTGCAGTTGTGTTTTCATGAACAAAAATAATTTTTAGCATTGTTTTGATTTTCAGGTGTTAATGTTGATTGAATGTACCGGTAGTCAAGGCCTAGTCCACATGGACACAGAGATTTTCATAACCGGAGTTTTTCCTCTTTCATTTAAAAAAATAATAAATGTCTACATGAAAACGCAAAAACATGCTATAAAGCGCTGTAAAGAGCACGCCAAACCACCAGCCGGCAATATGACCCTAACCGGAAAGCCACGTTGGCCAATCAGAGCCTAAACTCGTGGCGCACAATCTGACATCAAACACAGCAGATAAGGGCGCACACTCTGACGTCACTTTGACCGTCTACACGACAGCACTGCAACCAGTTTCTGAAAATCCTCTTCCTGGCAGGGGGTTTCTGTGTGGACGAACGGCCAAACTGTTCAGAAAAAGTCACGGTTTTGAAAATACCAGTGTTCGTGTAGACAGTGGCACCAGAGGTTTTGCCTTGCGATGTAAGGGGGTAATTTTTGAGTTCAGTCTCCTCCTCCTGCTTACTGTAGGATGGGACGGCCCTTCAAACAGGATTCTCACCTGTCTGGAAGGGCCACGCCAGTGCATTGTGGGAAAGGAATATTTGCGGTGATGCTGTCACATGTTTGCATCCATGGTTCATTTCAAGAAAGCAGCATCACTTTATTGCAACAGATTTCACTTCCACAGAGGAGGTGACAGGAGGTTTGGACCGGATGGAAAACAGCACGAGCTGATTCTTTCAGTCTCTCCTGTCAGGACACTAGATGGCAGCAGAGATCCACCAATCAGAGGTCCTTCAGTTTATCCTGCAGAGAGAACTTTTCCTCAGTACTACTCAGATTACAGTATTTGAGGTGCAGCCTTTTTTTTTTTTTTATAATGTCTAATATAGGGACACTCCCAACACCTGATCTTATAGACCATGATTCATTGCTGCAGATTAAACTACCCAACAGGATTTAAAACATCTGCAGCAGGAAAATGCAACATACATTAATGTAGCAAGTATATTATTCCAGGAACATTATACTGCACTATGAGTACTTTTACTGTAATACGTTAAGTACATTTAAATAAGTATGGTTTTGTATGCAGGGCTTTTTAACTGTAGCAGAGTATTTGCACAATGTGGTATTACTTTTATGGGATATGTGTCATAGGCATAGGTGTCATTTACACTGGCTGATTTTGTCCCCACCACTGTGTGCCCAGACTGCAAATATTAAAATCACGAAATTCCCTAGTTGTATGGACAGTGGATGGTTGTACTTTCTGACCTCAAAATCATTTTTTTCTCTACATATTCTGAATGTACATGTATCCTGACTTGATACCCACCATGCCTGATTGGGGAGGAAGTAGGTAAATACTGACATTGTCATATGACTCCTATCTTATCTCTAATTGGTGTTGTTACAACTTTCCCCATGTTACAACCATACCCGGTCTCCCCTACTTACAACTGTTATAAGTCTGAATATTTCTTCCACCACTGACGTGCTAAACATACAGTAAATCAGATCAAACTCTTGTTATGCAATGTCCATAAGGAGGCGCTGTCTCTCCCCATCTCTCTCAATTCAGTCTATCTTTATTGGCATGAATGCAAAACAACAATATTGCCAAAGCTACAAATAAATTACAAAAGAACAATTCATTTTATACAGTTCATTAAATAAGTAAATAAAAAAGTGTGTGTTTGTATGTGTAAAAAAATAAATTAAGATCAATATTAAAAATACAAATAATTAAAAACAGTAAAAGTGTGTGTGTGTTTGGTGAAAACTAAAAATGAATTATTAAAAATGTAAATAAAACAGTAAATGTGGGTGTGAATGTGTGTTTAATAGACACATTTTTAAAAAAACATAAAAAAACAACTAAAGAAATCAGTATCAAATGTTAAATTAAAAAACAAAACAAATAAAAGAACAATTACTAAAATAACAAACAATGAAAATAATAATAATTTGAAAATCTTTCAGAACAATTATTTAATATATTTATCAGTCTAGTCTGAGTTTCCACTGGTTGTCCTCACTTTGTGGTACGAGGGGATCGATTTTGCTGCAATGATTTGGCATTCTGGCGTTACTCTCTCTCTCTCCACATTAAACAGTTTTATCTTTTTGTGCAAAGGTCCTGCAGCGATTAAGCCGTTACTTCTCTCTTTGCTAGATTTCATTACAAATGTCATTAGAGGAGTCGACGCCAGCGTTTTTTGTTTTTTTTGTGGATCTCACTTGCTCCTCAGAGTTGCAAAGAAGTTTGGATGATAGTTCACGCTCCATTAACTTTAATGGAATTAACAATACTGATTACGTCCACTGAATCTCCACCAGCTGCCTCCTGAGGAGGAAACACAGAGCTCAGAGATCAGCCGGGCACCGTTTAATGTGCAGTTTGACACCATTTCACCAAATCTGAATCCTTTGATTCATTTTAAAAATCTCATTAGGTTCATTTTAACATTTGTAAGTAACTAAAGTTAAAAATAAGCAAATCGCTTATAACCAATCCAAATTTGCACTTTTTCTATCTGCTGGCGATATGCACTATCCACTGTTCACTGTGTTTTGTGTGCTCTGTCTGTTGTAGTATGTTGTGACTTGTTGCTGTGAACATGGTAAGCATTCTGCCTGCTGTTTGCATTTAGCTTCACAGAGCTGCTCGCATGGCTGCAGACTCTCAGTTCAACACGTTATCACCAAGGTTTCATCAACCAAACTGTCTTAAAGTTTTATCTCCTGATAGGACGTGCTCTGATTAACACTTATAAACCAGGAGGTTTGAGCTTATTTATTATTCGTCCACTACAGAACTGAACTCGCTCGTTTGTTGTTGTTGCTGCTAACGTCTTGCAAACCGTCCTCACCAGAATAACGGCTGTATAGGTGGATAATGCAGCAGCTTATTACGACCCATATTTAGGTTTTTTGCAACGTGACCCTGGCAGAAGAAGTCCGGTGACGTAGTATAAAGAGAACAAAGTCCGCGTAAGGAGATAGTGTTTTGAAGATATTCTCATTGCTGATATACGCGGCTCAAAAAATAAAGGGAACACTAAAATAACACATCCTAGATCTGAATGAATGAAATAATCTCATCCAGACTCTGTCACGTCTGTCACATGTGCTCAGTGTGAACCTGCTTTCATCTGTGAAGAGCACAGGGCGCCAGTGGCGAATTTGCCATCTTGGTGTTCTCTGCCAAATGCCAAACGTCCTGCACGGTGTTGGGCTGTAAGCGCAACCCCCACCTGTGGACGTCGGGCCCTCATACCACCCTCATGGAGTCTGTTTCTGCCCGTTTGAGCAGACACATGCACATTTGTGGCCTGCTGGAGGTTATTTTGCAGGCTCTGGCAGTGCTCCTCCTGCTCCTCCTGCAGGCGGAGGTAGCGGTCCTGCTGCTGGGTTGTTGCCCTCCTACGGCCTCCTCCACGTCTCCTGATGTACTGGCCTGTCTCCTGGTAGCGCCTCCATGCTCTGGACACTACGCTGACAGACACAGCAAACCTTGTTGCCACAGCTCGCATTGATGTGCCATCCTGGATGAGCTGCACTACCTGAGCCACTTGTGTGGGTTGTAGACTCCGTCTCATGCTACCACTAGAGTGAAAGCACCGCCAGCATTCAAAAGTGACCA